TGCTTGCCTGAGAATTACACGTTCCACAGAACCACTGGAAAGCATCGCTCTCAGACTGACAGCGAGCCTTGCGGGTGCAGCAGGGCCCTTCCACGAGGCCTGAATGGAAGAAGAGCGGAGTTTTAAGAGTGCTTGATGCAGCAGCCGGCCGCCGAGCCCTCGGGGCCTCCCGGCCTGGCTCCGGGACCCCTGGCTCTGAGCTCACGCGTTATCTGGGATACGAAAATCTAACAGTAGGTTTTGAAGTCGGGCTTCACGATATTCTCTCAACAAAGAGATTTTGGGGGGAAGCTATCAAGCTCCTTCCATGAACTCTAAATCAGAATTCCTGGCTTTTGGAACAGCTGACGCGGCACCACCCACGGTGCGGACTGGGGGAGGGTCCCACGGGTCCCCCCTCCTCCCACGGGGTCCTTGCCCTGGTCCAGGGTGTGGAGAGCAGGGACCTGACGCTCATTTTGCAGCTGAGGAAAGAGACTTTGCAGGGCGGTGGGGGCCGGGGATTGGTCTGAAGCTGCACGCGGCCAGCGGGCCTGCAAGCCATCTCTAGCCACCACGACTGACTTGTTAAGTTCCACCCCGGGGGCCCTGGCACTCGACGGGCTGGGACTGGAGGAACCCAGGGGGCTGTGGCTCTGAGGAGCCTGCTGGGGAAGAGTAAGAACAGTGCCGAGGACACACACACACCGGCAAACTGCAGCGTGGGACTAAAGGGACATGATAGCGTCTACAAATATTTAACGGGTGTAAACACCAAGGAAGACGAATTAATTATTCAGAAGAACAGTGATGAAGCCGGGGACGAGCTCATTACCAGTCCCAAAGCCACCCTGCCCCTCAACAGCTGGTTCAGATTGAGCTCCCCCAGGCTGCAGGCAGGTGGCGGGCAGCGCCCACGACTTTGACCCAGCGCTCAGTCAGCGGTCACCGCGGCAGCGCCTGCTGGGTCCCTGTGCCAGGGGTTGAATCGTGTTGCCTCCCAAGATCAGATGAAGCCCTAACCCCAGGTACTCATGACAGTGACCTTACCTGGAAATAGGGTCTTTGCAGACAGAGTCAAGTTGAGGTCCTGGGGGCGGGATTTACTTCAATATGACTGCGTCCTTATCAGAAGGGGGCACTGGGGCACAGAAGAGGGAGGCCAGCATGCAATGACAAGGCTGGCCAAGGACGGACGGCCACCCCCAAGCACCGGAAGAGCCGGGACCCCCCCCACCGGCCCTGCTGACACCTTGGACTTCTGCCTCCGAACTTGTGAGACAGTCAAGTTCCCTCACAAGCCGCCAGCGTGTGGCGTTTGTTATGGGTCCCAGCAGACGAATATACCTGCTATGTGCCCAAAGTGCAGACACGTGACCGATGAAACGGCATGCATCCTGGGGGCGGGGGGACTGCGGACAAGGGGACCTCCTCCGCCTCGGGATATGGACTGGGGCCCTTAGGCAAGGTGTCCCAGGCCCAGCACACGGCTTGGAGCCTGTCCTAACCCCAAACCCTGGCTCTGTGGGCACCTGGCTTTCCCCCAGCCCCAAACAGATGACGGTGCCCCCTTAGGGGTAACTGAAAACAAAGAACACTGACCATACATTGCCTTTTTTTTTTTTTTTTTATCCTCACCCAAGGACATTTTTCCATTGTTTTGTTCAGGTAGAGTGGGAGGGAGAGAGAGAGAGAGAGAGAGAGAGAGAGAGAGAGAGAGAGAAACATTGACGTGAAAGGGACACATTGAGTGGCTGCCACCCGCACGACCAACCAGGGCCGGGGACAAAGTGCAACCAAAGTACGTGCCCTTAGCGGGAACCGAACCCGGGTCTCTCCGGACCGCAGGCCGACGCTCTAACCGCTGAGCCAAACCGGCCAGGGCACATTGCCATTTTGAAATGCTATCAAGTGTCCTCATATGCTCGGCAGGTGTGTGTGTGTCCTGAGCCTGGGGTCACCCAGCCTTGGATCTGGGGTGGGGGGTTCTCCTGAAATTGCCATGTAAGGTAAGGGCTCAGCCTCCAGGAAAGGGGTGGGGGTGCTGGCCTCAGGGGCACCATCTGAGTTCTGGCTCCGCTGGTTCTGTTAACACAACTTCAAACTCAGGGGGATTCTTGGGCACCCCAGGAATAGGATGCTTTGTGAAGGAGGGGGGATCGGACACCCTGACCTCAGGCACCTGCGGCTCACATTTGGGACTTCCCAGCCGCTGTTCACTTTCATTCTCCACAAGGTGAACGAAAACAATTGAGATTCCACACGTGACCTCCTGTGAGCTTCAGAGCTGTCCTGGGAGCCCTGGCCGCTTTGGCTCAGCGGTTAGAGCGTCGGCCTGAGGTCCGGAGAGACGTCGGTTTGGTTCCCGCTAAGGGCACGTGCCTCAGTTGCAGTTTGTCCCCGGCACTGGTTGGTCGTGCGGGTGGCAGCTGTTTGATGTGTCCCTTTTACATTGATGTTTCTCTCTCTCTCCCTCCCACTCTAGCTGAACAAAGTATTGAAAAATGTCCTCAGGTGAGGATAAAAAAGAAAAGAACGGTCCTAGGAGACACCCAGCATTCTGATAGTCATTTCCCAGACGAGAAAACTGAGGCACAGAGAACGGAGTGACTTTCCCAGCTGCCATCGTGAGGATGTGGTACCGGGTGTCACACTGCCGGGCTGCCGGGTGTGAGTCTGGTGACTTGGGACCTGACAAGCTGAAGGTCTGAGTGGCTTCTCACAGCTAACCTTCTCCAGAGGGCCGGCTTGGAGTTTCTTCCCTCCTCCACGTTCCTGTCCTCCCCACCCACCTGCAGTCTCTGCGGGAGGAGCTGCCGTGAGGCAATGAGCCGCCAGGGGGCGCTGCCCGCAAAGGAACAGAACCTCTCTTTTTTTATCCTCACCTGAGGATATTTTTCCATTTTTGTTCAGATAGAGTGGGAGGGAGAGAGAGAGAGAAACATCGATGTGAAAGGGACACATCGAGCGGCTGCCACCCCCACGACCAACCAGGGCCGGGGACAAACTGCTACTGATGTACACGCCCTTAGAGGGAACCGAACCCGGGTCTCTCTGGACCGCAGGCCAACGCTCTAACCGCTGAGCCAAACCGGCCAGGACGGAACAGAACCTCTCCCAGGCCCAAGCCCGGGGACTCTTCTGCCCTGGGCTACACGCCTGCTCGACAGCCACCGCCTCCAGCGGAAGCCTCCACTCAGGACAGGCGGGGTTAAGTCACAGGAGGGGAATGCTTTCGGCGCTTCTGACAGGGGAACAGAGGAAACAGGTAACCAGTGATGGCCAAGTCCCTGTTCTGTAAGATGTGTGCGACCCGGAGAGACAGACATTCAGCATCCTGCTCTAGCGGACACCGCGGCGTTGCCTACTGAGGTCTACTCAGGTCTTATTCCCGGGGTCACACACAGGACAACCCCGTAAAGGGGCAGGAGGGAGCACCCAGAGCTCACAGGTGTATTTACGGCCTTGGTGGCGGTGATGGTTTCACAGGGCTGTACTTATCCCCAGATGAATCGAGTTGCAGACATGAACTACGGACAGCTTTTTGTGTGTCAATCATGGCTCAAGGAAGAGGTTTAAAAACTATGTCCATAGTCATGGTCACGGTCACCTGGCGATGGACTACGTTACAATCCGAGTAGTGCATTGTCAGGCAGTGTCGTCCGTGTGCGAACATCCTGGGGTGCTCCTGGGCCACGCGCCTGTACATTGTCCCCCTACTGACCACAGAAGGCAACTGTAACACAACAGGAAGCATTGGTGCACCTACACGTGTCTACAGCAAAGGCACGGTAAACTATGACGTACAGATTTACACAGGCAGGGTGCTGGGTGCAAGGGCTGCAGAGCCAGGTGGACCAGGATGGAGTCTGGCCCTGACACTCCCTACCTGGGAGCCAAGGTGGACCTTGGTCCCTGGGTTCTCCTACCTGAAAATACCACGACGGCCATGTTGGGATTAAAGGGGACGTCCACCGAAAGTCCCAGAGGGCCTTTCCACATCTGAGATGGTTCAAGGCCAGCCCGTGTGTGTGTGTGTGTGTGTGTGTGTGGACTCTCCACAGGCCCCAAGCACAGTGGGCCGGTTGCCTGCAGGTTCTCCATCTGTACATTGAACCAACCAGAGATGGAAAACATCTTTTCAAACTGTTACATTGTTGCTGACGTGCACCATGAAGTTGGGCGTAAACTGGCTCTGGGGCGAACAGGTGCAGACTTTCCCCTAAACAATAGTGTAAGCGCACAGGGCACATACAGTGCAGTTGGTATTACCAGCACTCTCTAACCCGGGCACCTGGGGCGGGGGGGACTCCTGTGACCTGCACTCCTCAGGCCCTTTGCAACCCTCCAGGCTCCCCAACATCAGCTTTGGCCTGGAGCCCTAGGAGTCTAGCCTGAACTTGGCCTTTTCACCCCACGCCCCGCCCCCAGACCCGGAGGTCCTGGTGTCCCGGGGTCAGAGCTGCTACTGGACTTGGGCCTGGACAGTCACCAAACACCGATTTGGCCCCTTGCAGCCTAAGGCCCGGTGCTGTCCCGCGGGGTGAGGGAGGTTGTGGGCCCCTAGGTCCTAGCGCCCCTTGTTGGGTGGGGTGAAGGGCAGGGCTGCCCTTGAGCCACACAGACCAGACCGATCCATACGCCCCACCGGGACTGCACCGGGTGGGAGGGGAGCGCGCCCTGCCCGGGTCCTGCGAGGCCGGCGGCCAGGGGCCCCAGGGCAGTGCCTGCGCCCCGCGGTCTTGTCTGTCTGCGCCCCGCTTGGTGGCGACCCGGAAGGTCCCCGCGCAGGAGCCGGAAGGCGGGAGGGCGGGGCCTGCGCGCTGGACGCCGCCGGTCCGTGTCAGCCGGGGGTGAGGCCAGTGTCCCCGGAGGAGGACGGCCGGTGACCGCGCAGCGGCGCCCCAGCGTCCAGCCGGCGAGGGCCAGGGCGGGCGGGCGGCGGAGGGCGCGCGTTCCCGGAGCCGCGGAGCCCGCGGAGCCCGCCCGGCACTTGCGGGCGGACACGTGAGCTTCATTCATTTACCGGAGAAGAGGTGGAGCGGGGAGCGTGCGGAAGGCCCGAGGAAGCGGAAGTGCAAGCAAGGGGGGGTGGGACCCAGGCGCCCGTCCCAGGGCCTACACCCAGAGCCCCGCGCTGACCCGCTGCGGGGCTGTCACCTGTGTGTGTGTGTGACCTCCCGCAGTGACCCCAGGCTGTAAGCTGGGGTGTGCATGGGGTGGGGTATAAGCGGGGTGGAGTCCTTCCAGGACCCCTGGGAACGGCAGCCCACCTGGCCTTGCCCCGTGGGGTGGCTCTGGGTGCTGGTTTAGAGGTGATCAGGAAGGGCTCTTAATGGTTAAGGAGCGAGGTGAGTTTGGGTCTGTCTGGGAGCTTCTTCCGCCTTCAATAAAGATAGATTGAGAGGTGCCAAGTGGGCAGGAAGGAAGGAGCACAGGCCAGGGCCTGTGGCACAGTGGGCAGCCCCCGGGCAGCTCTGGCCCCAGTGGCCTCTGATTTTACAAGAGATGGAATCTGAGGTTCATGTGAAATCTCCTGATTTTTAAGTACCAGCAACTGTTACCCAGAAATAAAAGGCCTCAGAGTGAGAGGCCACAGGTGTTTATCTGAGCTCAACAAGAACACCTATGGGCTCAGTGTTCGGACGAGGACACAAGGGCAGGGGGTGCGTGTGAGACGGGAAGGGGGACGATTCCATCCCAGCAGGATGGCATGTGTGTCGGTGCAGATGACAGGACAGGGCGACCCCGATTCTGAGCCGTGGTTTTGTGGTTTCCAGTCCGTAGCCTCGCGCCCAGGAGGCATAACATCTGCGTTCCTGTTATCTTTGCAAACAGGTCTTTGGGAAACAAGGTTGCAGCTCATTTCATTTGCTTCGCTTCACAGAGAAAATCAGGTCTGCTCTCTGCCCCCTTCCGAGCGGCCTCTTCCAGGGGCTGTCCCTTTGCGGTCATGACACTGGTTTATAATTGAGACATTCATGTGTGGACAGGTCTTGACCTCTGGGAGAGCAGAGGGGGCTCTTCCAGGGAGGAGGCGGTGTTCGGTCTGGAAGCCAGGAGGGGCTGGGAGATCCAGGACACCTAGGAGTTGGAGCGGGCACAGGCACCCCCGAGCTCTCCCCAGTCCCTGGGCAGCCCTGCACGGCCGGCCCTCCTCTGCCTCTCAAACTCCGTTTGGCAAACAGAGGCCCCTGGGAACGCATGCTTGCCATTTCTGAACTCGAGCGCCGAGGGATGGACGTCCGGTGTTCTGGGTCACACTCTCTCGGAGTCTTGCCTTCCAAGTGGGGCTGAAGACCCCTTGGGGTGTGTTGGGAAAGGCAGTGTACCCCTCCCATGCTGGCTGAGTGCGCAAGACCTTCAGGGACCCCTGTGTCCTTGGGGAATCCCTGATCTCAAGCAGGTCAGAAAGGAAAAGGGGCGGCTCTAGGTTCTGGAGCCTGGGGCCCTTCTCAGCTCTCGGGACCGGAGAGAACTTTGAAACCCTGACTGTGGGATATGGAAGCTCCGCACATTTGTTCTGAGAACTCACGATTCTGAGAACAATTGCACATTGGAGACCGGTCTTCATTTTCCTTGGTTCCAAAAACCCTCATCTAACCAAAGACATTGAGGAATAGTCTTCCCCAAATGTCTCATCAGTTCCCACAGCTACTGTGTGCCTGGGTCAGCCGGATGTCGGGGGGCTGGAAAGGGAAATGTGCCAGCTTAGCTCCCCCTGAAGCTGAAAGAAAACTCAGCTTTGATTTTACTTCCCGGTCCTGCCACGTGGGGGCGCCCCATCCCCAGGACCCTGCCCTGCCCTGCCCTGCCCTGCACTTACCTGCCAGCCAGCTTGGCAGTCTCCTGACCTGAGAGCTGTAGTAACATCACTGTTCCAAAGGTCAGTTCCTCCTGCAGTCCCCCCAGGACTCGAGTCCCTGGAATTGTGTGATTTCTGTTCTCCGGCGGTTTCATCGTCAGTCCCACCCCGGCCGGTGAGGAGAAGTGGGTGGCCTCAGGCACAGAGCTCCTGGGAGCCAGGCCTGAGGATAAGTAGCCTGACGCTGACCTGGAGCCAACTCGCTAAGAGTCTGCAGGGTCCCCGACTTGCCAGGCACTTTGCAGGCAAGGCTCACCCCTCGGGTGTCCAGCCGGTGGAGGTCAGCCCGTCGCACAGCTGGGAATCTCAGCTGCTCAGGACAGGCAGGGCCCGAGGCCAGCGCGGGGCAGGGTCCTGGTTTCCCCTCTCTGACTTGGCTCCACCTCAGGGGCACCGTCAGCCCAGGGGACTCTGCCAGGCTTCGCCTCCCCTAGCATGACCGTCGTCACTTCTCTGCCACAGGCCAGAGTTATTCAGGGGGCGTGGAGGCCTTCCATCCGCCCTGCTGATGCTGTTTGCTCATTAACTAACCGAAGCCCCACCATCTCCGTGACAGAGAACTGGTCCCTTGACGGAGCTGTCCGTCCGGCCCCCGGTGGAGCTGCGGTCCTCTCCCACACAGGAGGCGTGTCTGCGACTCTAGGAAGAGTCACGCTCCTGAAACGCTCCCTCCCGAAGGCGAGCTCCCGCCCAGAGATGCCCCTCGCGGTGGAAGAAGTCATGCGGCTGCTGTGCTCCCTTTCGGAGGCAAAGCAAATGAAGGCGGCTGTCAAGCAGTCAGGGAGGGGCGCCCTGGTCGCTGGCACCGTGGCCTTCGTTGGTGGCTTGGTTGGTGGCCCACCAGGAATAGCTGTTGGTAAGGGCAAGGGCTTCGCGGGGGCTGCCAGCCTCATGGGTGTGGGACAGAGGCCTCATGGAAGTCTGTGCCCCGTGACAGGATCTCTGTGCGCATAACATGTCCTGGTGAAAACACTTCTGTGTCTGTGTCTCCGACACGCAGGGCGCTCTGGAGGTGGCGTCCATGTCGTGCAGACGGGAGGGCGCCCTGCCCCAGGGCTGTGTCCAAGAGTGGGGAGTCCTCAGGGTGTCCCTTGGGAACCCCCCACCCCCATCATTGTAGGTCAGCAGGATCAAGGGGGAGTTGGGGTTTGGGGGGCCTCTACCTGGAGCAGGTGCTGTCTGGCTGTTCCTATCAGCTGTTCTGGGAGGGTCCCCTTCCCGCGTCAACACTCCAGCATGGTACACAGTCTACAGTGTTACCTGCAGCTGGTTTTACCACCTGCTTCCATGTGGGAACCCGTTTCAGGCAGTGAAGGAAGGTTGGCTGATTTCCCGTGGTCCCTTGGAGGTCGGGTGACATTGCTTCTGCTGAATGGGGAGCAGGGAGGATTAAAACCCTGGGTGGCTTCAACCACAGGCTGTGGCCCAGACCATGGGCGGTGACCTAACTGTGCACTAGGGTGGGGTTCAGGCCTGCCTTGGGGAGGGGCCTACAATGGACCCTATAGCCCAGGGCACCTGCTGAAGGCATGGGCTGGCACATGGGCTCAGCAGAGATTTACTGACAGCCTCCAGGGTGCTGGGCAGGGGCCGGGTGCAGGGTCTCGCAGAGCTCAGTCTGGTGGAGATCCTTTCTTTTTTTTATGCTCACCCAAGGACATTTTTTCATTTTTTGTTCAGATAGAGTGGGAGGGAGAGAGAGAAAGAGAGAGAGAAACATAAACGTGAAAGGGACACATCGAGTGGTTGCCACCCACACAACCCAACCAGGGCTGGGGACAAACTGTAACCCAGGTACATGCCCTTAGCGGGAACCGCACCCGGGTCTCTCTGGACCACAGGCTGACGCTCTAACCACTGAGCCAATCTGGCCAGGGCTGGTGGAGATCCTTTCGGGGAGCTGGAGAGGTGACTGCTTTCTGCCCGGGATGGCTCCTGGTTCCCAGCGGCTCCCCAGTGCGGTGGGGAAGACAGCAGAGACACTTGTAAATCACTTGCTTTCCTCCCCGAATGTCCTCGTCCAGGCAGCAGGGAGCCTGTTCAAGGGCTGTGTGCAGCCTCCAGGACAGGAGGCGGGTTCTTCCCACCGGTGGGGGCAGTGTCCCCGCTCCCAGGAGATGGTGCAGGTCTAGTGGCCGCGGGCGAGTCCGGCCTGCGCACGGGTTCTCTCTGGCCCGGCTACACCCTTCCAGACACACTCACTTTTGAACAGTGAGATGTACAGGGAAGTGTAAAGCTAGGACTGAATACCTCGTTTCGTTCCCCGATGTCAGTGTCTTAGGTTACCAGGTGCACTTGTTACAACTAAGAAGCCAAAGAGTGCCTTGACTTTGAGAACCAATTTGCATCTGAAATAATGTCTGTGCCCTCTGGGGGTAGCAGAAAGAGAAAAGGTTGAATGCATGAACTTGGTGGTTCATCATCCTACCCCTCGGGGTTCTGAGGTGACACCGCTTAGAGAAAAGTTCTCATCTCTCTGCAGAGCCAGTAACAGGCGAGTTCACTGCAAACTCCCAAAGTTCAAGGGCCAGGAGCCTGTTAGCCTTGGAGCACGTGGCCTCATGGGGATGGTTCGCGACCAAGCACCTGCTCCTCGGTGGCCTCCTCTGCGGGCAGAGAGACTTTTATGGGAAAGGTGGAAATGAGGGTTTTCGTTAGCTCAGCTCTGGGTGGGGAGACGCTTCGTGCTGCATCCCTGACGGTGGGGCTGAGGAAGGGGTCTGCTGGGGTGTCCATGACCTGAGCACAGTGGACCGAAGGTCACCTCAGCCTCTTCCTAGCCCGCTGCCTGGTGGGGCTGAGCCTGCTGAGCCCACTATCACACTGGGTCAGCTCCCAGCAAGCTCCCAGAGCCTTCATTAATTAACAGGCCCGACTCATTGAACCCCCTTTGTCTTCTAGGTGGTGCTGTGGGGGGACTGTTAGGGGCCTGGATGACGAGTGGGCAGTTTAAGCCTGTGCCTCAGATCCTGATGGAGCTACCGCCAGCTGAGCAGGAGAAGCTGTTCCGACAGGTCAACGCCATCCTCAGCGACCTGGATTGGACAGACGCTGTGCAGGTGACCATGCTGGTCATGGGCAGTGAGGCCCTGCAGCAGCGGCTGCTGACCATGCTGGTGGGCTACGTGACCAAGGAGCTCCACGCCGAAGTGCAGTATGGCGACTAGCCCCTCGGGCAGGGGTCCCGAGGGATGTGACTGGGGGCTGGGCTGCCCCACCCCCCTGTGTCTCCTGCGGGAGAGGCTTCTGCTGTGCTGGATCATGCTCTGGAAATTGCTGATGAAGAAGGCGTTATATGGTGTACAGGATTAGGGGGCCCTCCTCCCCAGGAGGGTCAGATCCCGACCTCCATGTGCGTAGGGGAGCTTGATGCATCGGAGCCCACGGAGCTCAGGAAGGGTGGACCATGTGTCTCAGAGGAACTGCTCTCCCACTGGCCTCGTCCAGCACAGACCACGCTGCTGGGTGACCTGCTGCCTGGGTCACTTCTGTGCTGCTGGAGGGATGGGCAGGGGGGCCACTGCGATGAGGCTCCTCACTCAGAGAAGGTCACTGGGGGTCACTCATAGTGGGGGTCCTCCCCTGCCAGACCCAGGGCACAGGGGTGTCAGCTCAGAGGTCAGAGGTCCCTCACCAACGTCCACTGAAGCCCCTCCCATGTCAGCTTGTCTTTCTCCTGGGGAGACGGCGTGGGGAGGAGATATTCCCACTCCTGACGATCTGGGCTGGATGCCGCAGCCTTGCTGAGCGAGCCCCCCTGACAGCTGAGTCCCAGGGGCCTTTAGGGGACTTTGGGCCTCAGATCTGCCCAAACCTCGAGTCCTCGTCCCTCAGGAGCTGAAGGCACTTATCTGGCTCCCTAGGCCACACCAGCCTGGTACCAAATCAGGTTCAAAGAGGGTTTCCTCTTCCTGTGCCCCAGCCCCTCCCACACGTGGCCCCGCCCACACACGGCCCCACCCACACGCAGCCCCTCCCACCAATCTGGCCGCCTGCATTCAATCTGTTTTCAATGCTTTGACAGTGATGCCTTTCCTTTTGTTTGTCAGTGTTTATTGCTGAAAACAGAAAATCCAGAAGATATAATGAAATAAAATCTGCTGCAGATTCCACGCCTCCGACCACCTCTGTTAAACGTGGACCGTGCCGTGCACATCCTGTAATGCTGCCCCTGTGGCTATGGAATTTGCATCCCTGCTGTTTAGGCCTCGGACCCCCTCACCTAGGAACACTAGGCTGTAACCTGTACCCGGCAGTTCCTGGGAACTGTCAGCTGCATCCCCTCGCCCTGGGCTGCACCCGGTGTGGCTGCCTTTGCAGGCGCCGTGTGTTCGTGAATATTCCGAAGGGAAGATGCTGGGTCTGCTGGGCAAACCGGCCTCCAGCCACCTGTCCCTGAGCCTCTGCTGGGACGCCTGCTCTCCGGGTCCAGCTACAGCGCAGGCCTCAGGGACAGAGATTCTTGGCTAGTGGCTGGCTTGACCCGGGACCGAAGCTCGTTCGGGGTGGGGACCGCAGGAGGCTCAGCTGGGAGAGAAGGGAGGCACTTTGGCATTTTGAGAATGTTGGTCATTTCAAAACTGGGTACAGGACATTGCAGGGGCAGCTGCAGGGGCCTGTTACACCGAGAAAGAAGGGCCGGACAGATGACATGCCAGTCCCCGACTCCCCTCCCTGCCGCATGGGAGCCACGGGGGGGCAGGGCTTGTTCTCCGGAAAGTCTGCCCTTTGGAGTCAGAACATCTGGCAGGACCCTGAAGCGGACCGTCCAAGGATTTTGAAATTTCCCTTGTTTTTGCCCAGAAATGTCTGGCTCTGGTGCCTCCCCCCCCCCCCCCGGGCCTGCCTTTCTGTCAGCACCGGGACGTCCCGGAGCCAGCAGGGCCAGGACCTGAGAGGGACTCGGAACGGGGCCCCCACGACTCATCTGGCACGAACCCCGGCCATGCCAGCGGTGCACCTGCCCCTGGGTTCTCGGGTTGTGACCGGGAGCAGCCCTGCAAAGCTCCCTGGGGGTTCGTGTTCCTTTCCTGGGTGTGACCGCCCTGTTCTCTGACTAGTCATCCCTCATCCTGAGCCCGTAGCCGGTCTGGGCTTTGAGATGGGCGTCAGGATGGGAAATGTAGGGTGCTGGCTGAAGGGCTTATGCGGGGGGGGGGGTGCGCGCACTCTGGGATGGGCTCTGCCTGGCAGGTCGGGCACCGCCTGTGTCCCCTCTTGGACCAAATCCCTCCCTGGCCCTAAGGAAGCGCCTCGGGTGCCTCAGTGCCTGGCCTGTTTCTGAGGGCACCCTAGTCTGTTTCCACGAAGCACCCCTCACCCCGTGACCTGTCCCGCCCCAAGCCCTCTGCCCTGGCACAACCAGCCTGGACCAGTTTGTGTGGCTCAGGAGGCCAAGGGCTACTACACAAACAAGTCATTCTGGGGCGCACCTCTGCCCCTCCCCACCCAGTCTGGTCCCTCTGCCCCTGTGAGGAAGGCCTCAGACATCAGAGGACTGGCCCGAGTCGGCCCCTGGGGTCTGGAGCCCTGCTGGTGGGGTTTCAGCACTGCGCCCTGAAGCACTGGGCTGGGGGAGCTTCCCTGGACCCTCACTCCTTCCAGCTGGCCGTGAGCCCCGCTCTGCCGGTGCCAGGTGACGGACCAAGAATGCAGAAGCCACAGCCGGAGACTGTCTTAAAGGACCCACGACTCTGTTCCAGGTGTGGGCCAGGCTGGCATTGCATCTCCAGCCCCAACACGCACTCGCTGCACCTGGGGCCCCCCCATTCAGCAGCACCACCCCCCAGGCAGCCAGGGCACAGCTGGACACATGGCTCCTTGCTCTCTGCACTCGCTGTCACTCAGAGAACTCACAGCAAGTTAGCAGGGCTACAGGTGCCGGGTTACAGGCATAGCTCCCGGACAGAGGGGTGTGTCCTTTGGAACCAGCCCAGGTGTGGTGCAGACATCTGAGCCCACCACGCTGCCCGCGTCCCCGGGAACGCTCGCCTGGTGGACAGTTGTTGGCATCTGTCCCAGCATGGTGTCAGCCTCTGAGGGAGCAGGGTCTGAAGGACACCTGAACTTCTCAATCACACCGTCCACAAGTTTCCTTTTATTGTGAAGTCAGCCTGGAGAAGATCTGTTACTGAAATCAGGGCCAACAGAAAGCGATGCTTCCCCAGCCAGGGAGAGGCGAGCACTGAGCCAGGTAGCAGCCCCTGGACCCCTGCAGAGATGAGATGAGGTGAGAGGCCTTGGCAGGCTGCCCGGGCCAGGGCAACTCGGACTGCAGCCCCCAGCCTGGTGGACACCTGCACACGCAGTCTCTTGTGGGCTCTGGGTGAGCCCGCATGCCTGGCCTGACAAAGCCCAGTTGACTAGGTGGGGGCATCAGCAAGGTGGATGGACAAGCCTGGGTCTCCTGTAGGCCTCCCAGGAGCCACCTTATCCCCTGGGGAGTGTCCTTGTCTGGGGTCACGTGTGGTGGTTCAAGGCCTCGGGGAAGAGAGGACCTCACTCCAGTCCCGTCTCCCCTCTGGTCCCTAAAGGTGCCTGCACTCATAATTCAGGGAGCTTCAGGTCACAGGGCTGAGAAACGGCATTTGGTCCCAAGAGGCCTGAGTGTTTGGGTTTGCTCAATGGAAACAGAAGACGCCACTGTCCAGGAAAGAGGTGCCGGGGTCCTGTTGGGGGATGGGGCAGCTTTGGGAACTCTGCCCTCTTCGGAGCCTGAGCTGTGGGGTCTCGTGGATCCAGAGGGACTCGGAGCCGGTGCCTCAGTGTCCAGGCCGGGTCAGCTGTGGAAGGAGGACCAGGAGACACCTGAGTCATAGAACTTCACGTGGCCGGGCCAGTCCCCGTCCCCACTGCCCTCCTTGTCCTCGTCCGAGTCGTCGTCGTCGTCTCCACTGGACGCTCCGCAGCTGGCCCTGGCGGGGGACCCTGCGCCCGGGCCCCCCTCCTCCTCCTCTGTGCGCCTCTGGGCGGCCAGCTCGCGGTAGCAGAGGCTGCAGACGCGCAGGGGCTTGGGCGACAGGCGCGGCAGCAGGAAGCGTGCGCGGGAGCACTCGGCACAGACCACGAAGCCGCACTGCCGGCAGTGGTGGCGCCGCGTGAGCGCCGAGAAGCGTGTCTGTGTGCAGCGCATGCAGATGTCCGTGGCCTTGTCCGGGATCCAGGGCGCCGCGTGCTCCGTGCTGGGCGGGCGGCCGGTGGCCCGCAGCTGCCGCCGCACACACTCCTCGATGTGGCTGATCCACTCCTGGCGCTCGGTGGCGGAGGCGGCCGACACCACGAAGGACTTCTTGGCCGTGCGGATCAGCCAGCGGTTCTTGGCCTGCGCGGTCTCCGGCAGCGGCTCCAGCGTCACCTCCTCCAGCGGGATGATGTGCTGGCCGCGGTACTTGCGCTTGTTGAGCACGATGCTGCCGTAGACCAGGATGTCGCTGAACAGGAAGAAGATGCGTGGCTTGGCCTTCTTGCGGCACTCCTTGGTCAGCACGCCCTCGCCCAGCAGCACGCGGCCGGGCAGCGCCAGCGGCTGCCCCGAGGCCCCGAAGCAGTTCTCCACCTCCGCGATGCGCTGGCTGTTGATCTCCGTGTTGGCCAGGTAGTCCACCATCTTCCCGGGCTGGGGAGGGGCGCACACAGGCGTCAGCGCGCAGGGGGCACTGCCCCCCAATCACCACGTCCCAGAAGCCCACCCTTACACAAGCAGTTACTGGAAGGGGAAAGGGTCCCCAGGGAGGGGCGTGTGTGGAGCCAGCCAGGGACGGGGAGGCAGCACACAGCCACTGTGGGTGGTGGGAAACCCTCGGGGGTGGGGGGCTTGGAAGACAGGGAAGAACACACCTCAACGCTGTCTGCCCAAGGGACAAGGACACTGAGCCCCAACTCCCATCGGGGGCTGGCAGGAGCATCAACTCCCCGGCCATTGACCTGTCCCAGGTGGACGCACCGGGCAATAGGGTGTCTGCAACCCCAGTCATCACGGAGTCCCCCATCCTCCAAGCCAAAGTAGCACAGACTCTGCAGCTCCCCCTCAGCCCCCGAGCCCAGCGGTCTCCACCAGCATCACCACAGGCACCGTGTGCTGACCGCTTCGTCCACGGCGAGCCCGGCACACCTCATGTAGCCATCGCACCAGCCCTAGCAGGGAGAATCCCCTGGACAGGAAGGAAACTCCAGCTCTGCAGGAAGTCTGGGGACTGTGCCGCTGCATGCCTCCCCCCGGGGTGGGGCCCCCGCTGTCCTCCTCCACCAAGCACTAGGTACTGGTGGCCTGGGCTTCACTCGCCCGTCTGCTGTCCACGCACACTCCTCCTGACCCAGCTTGGAAGGCCCCCAACTACTGCCGACCCCCAGGGCAAGCTGCCGGTCTGGCTTCTCCAGTGAGCTGCAGGCATGGACGTTACCTGCCCAAGTGCTCTCCCACCTGCCCACCTAAGACGCTCCTCAAACGCAGCACATCTGGTGGCTCTTTTCCATGAATGGAACCGCCATCCACCCAGGTGTTCAAGCCCCAAACCTAGGACTCACCCTTGAGTCTCCTCTTTCCTGTACCCTCACCGTTCAACCCCAGCAAGCACCTCGCCTTTTCTGTCTCACATCCCGCCCACATCTGCTGATTCTCACCAGGGACGCCACATGGAACCCACAGAAAGAGAAACCATGTTGTGCCTGAAACAGGCGGCCCCCCTTCCTGTGGTCGGCTCGGCTCCGACTCCCTTTCAGAGTGAACCTGATGGCTCTGCTCAGCAGCCTCCCCTCCCTCCTAGGGCAGATCAGCAAATGACGGCCTCAGGTCGAATCGGCCCACAGTCTGCTTTTGTTAATAAAGTTTTATTGGAACACAGCCAGGCTCACTCAGGTACAGTGGTCTGTGACTGCTCCCGCGCTGCAGGGGCAGAGCTGAGTTGGGGTGGCGGAGGCCCCACGGCCACATGGCCCAAGGTACTCACTATCTGGCCCTTTTCAGAGAGTTTGCTGGCCCCTTCTCTAGGACGGCACCCTCTTGTTCCGTCCTCACCGGCGCTTCCTGGTCTGCCCACCGTGTGCTGCGTGTCGCTTCCCTCACTCGGACCTAAGCTCCACGAGGGCAGGAGCTGCCAAGCGTGTGGTGGGTGCTTCGGAAGTGGCTTGTGGTGACCTCTGACCGCTCCCGAGGGCCCACCATGCAGGACCCAGCTCTGCCCTGTCAGAAGCAGCAGGTGGGAGTGGCCGCCACGACCGTGTGCACACGTGTGCAGGCCCACAGCACGCCTGGCCGGGCCGATCACACACTCAGCATGTCTGGGTCAGCACATGGCGGCTCCGCCTGCCCGACCACCTGTGGGAAGCTGGGGTGGGGCCCGTGGGGGGCTGGGAGCATCGTGGGGGGCTGATCTGTCCCGTACCACTGGCCTCCCTCAGACCACGTGGCGCCCTGAGAAGGGCTGCCCACACCCCTTGGGTAAGAACACTGCTTTCAGGTTGCTGATCTGGCTGCGAGCTCAGCTGGGCACCGGTGACGGCACTGGTTGTCCTGCTAGGACCGATCACTGGACCCTGCTATGGACAGTCTGGCCACATTCCAGAGGCTACCCCAGGACCTCTGGGCTGAGAGTTAAGACCGGGGACAGGATGGACGAAGACCACGGCAGCACCTCGCAGCGGGCAGGAGGGGACACAGCGGGTCACTCACACAGTGGGACGGAGTCTCCTGTCCCAGCTGCACCCAACCTACACGGTCCCAGGCAGCAAGTGCCGAGGGGAAACAACACAACGGCCCACGGAGCGCCCTGCGTGCAGACGTGACAGCTTTAGAAGTGCCGGGGACTCGCTCTGTGATAAAGACGCCGAGGCCGAAACCTCACACCCGCGAGGGCACCACTGTCGAGAGCAGATGCTGTGGGCAGGGACGTGGGGAGATGGAGCCCTCATGCACCGTTGGTGGAATTAACTTGGTGCAGCCACTGTAGACAACAGTGTCCGCCTGCGGTCCAGAGAGACCCGGGTTTGGTTCCCGCTAAGGGCATGTACCTTGGTTGCAGTTTGTCCCCGGCCCTGGTTGGTCGTGCAGGTGGCGGCCGCTTGATGTGTCCCTTTCACATCGATGTTTCCCTCTGTCTCTCTCTCTCTCTTCCTCTCTCTCCCTCCCCCTCTATCTGTACAAAAAATGGAAAAATGTCCTCAGGTGAGGATAAAAAAAAAAAAAAAAGGCAGCAGCCAATGTGACAACTCGGCCAGTGGATTCCGGGCAGCAGAACTTCACTTCCTGGTCTTTCTCTCTTCCTGTGTCAGGTCCTCAGAAGGACAAGACTCACAGGACAACGCCTGGGTGAAGAGCTCTGACTCTCCTGGTGGGGGCTCCCGAGGCCTGGCAAGGGCACTGGAAGGGCCTGGGCCACCATGCCAGGCACCCTGAGGAAGGACCGCCACTTGTTCCTCCGGTGCACTCGTGGGTCAGGTGCGCAGCAGAACTGGACGGAAACCCCAGGTTGAGGCCACAGACCGAGGTCTAACACACTGCAGCTGTGGTGGCTGACTCGGGGGCCCTGTGGGGTCAGTGAGCTCTGGAGGCTGGCTGGCCAGGTCCGCCTCCGCCCAGATGACCAGGTGGGTGTGGACACGGAGAAAGTGAGGAGCACACCCAGGAAAGCCTTTTGGGCAGGGCAAAGGCCTTCAACACTGTCTCCCCATCCCCACAGGGGGCACCAGGACACCCCCCCACAGGACCCCATTACTCTCCCCAGTCAGTGGTTCAGGTCTTGGTAGCCCCCACCCAGCTACTGGCGGCAAAACATGGCCCAGGAAGGGTGGGGGTGATGAAAGAGGTCTGGGCCCCAGCTGACCCCACACACTGACTGGGGCGTCTGGAAGGCTCTATGCTCCCCTCCTCTGTGAGCTGCAGTGGCTCCCAGGCTGGGCAGACAGCAGCCTTCACATCCACCCCCCTCCCCACAACCGTAACTTCACACCCTGGTTTGACTTGACCTGGAGGTTTTTCTTGGTAAATACACCAGGCTCCCCCGCCCCCCACTGGGGCTGGCCTGGGACACTGGTGTGGTCCCAGTGTGGTGACAGAAGGGGACACTCCTGAGTGAATAGACCTGTTCTTCCTTGGAGGGTTTGGAAGGGCTACAGGCTCCTAGGCTGCCCGCCCCCAACACCCTGAACCCCCGTGATCCACCACCTGAGCTGGGCCAAGAGAACACTGGAGTGAGGGCTGGGAGCCAGGCCCCATGTTCCTGGGCTCTGTCCATGGCAGCTGAGGTGTCACTTGTGATTTCCAGCAAATCTGACCCACTGCGGGCCTCTGTAAGTGCAGGTTGCTGGCACCCAGCCATGTGTGACAGGGACTGGCTTGCCAAGCCTACCGTACTCACTCTCTGTCCCTCTGCAGGAAATGTTTGCCGACCGACCGCTTGTCTACAGCACCACAGGTGAGCAGCCAGAGGCTGCGCCTGCTCCAGGGCCATGCCTGGCACTGGGCTCTGTCCTCGCCCCTCCTCCACTCACACACAGCCTTTGGGGACTCCAGAGAGGTGTCTGGGGTCCCATCCTGGGAACCTGGGAAGTAGGAGCTGGCAGGGGGCCTAGGTCCATCCATCTGACAGAGTTACGGCTGGGGACACTGCTTACTCAGACAGGGCAGTATCTGACCAAGGTCACGGACGTCGGGAGTCAGGACTATCTCCTGACAGGCTGATTCATCACCTGCCCCTCCAGCCCCAAACAGGCCCCCCAGCCTCCACGCCCGCCTGCTCTCACCTTCCCAATAGCTGCCGGCGTCCTGCCCAATGCCAGGCACCGTCCCACTGCACTTGGCCCTGAGTGACAGAGGGGAGCTGGGGCCGAGCCCTTCAGTTACAGACTTCCTGGTGGGAGGGGTTCGCTAGAAAATCAATCAACCAGGTCATTCCTGGTGCTAACTGCCATGAAGAAGGCTGATGTGCCAGGCAGGGCTGGGGTGGTGGTCAGGCGAGGCTGGGGAGAAAGTGACCTGGCACAGCCTGTGGCTGTGAAGGAGCCAGCCACGCAAAGGCCAGAGGGAAGAATGTTCTGGGCCCAGGGAGCCACTCAGGAACCTGACCTGAGGCTGCAGAGGAAGGCAGGGTTAAGAGGTCAGGTCAAAGGGGCTGGCAGGGGTATTTCTCCCCGTGCCCTACGGTGGGAGGAGGGCCACCATCCTGTGTTCTCCTTGCAGGGGCTGCTTCTCAGCCTCTCGAGCCCTGTGCTGCCTGGGAGGGCCCCCCATGAAGAGGAACAAGGAAAACACCAGAGGTGCCACCAGCTGAGAGCTTACCGCTCACCAGGCCCACAGTAGGCACACTGCAGGTGTCACCTCAGTCCTCACAACAGCTCCACAGGGGAAGGTGCCCCTCCATCCTCAAAGTCCCCACCCAAGGTCCCAGCTGAGGGACCGGGAAGCCCAGCTCGAAAATGACCATCAGCTGCTGAAGGCTGCTCTTGACCAAAGACAATCAGAAACCCAGAGGGCGAGGCCCCCTCCCAATCCTCAGGCCCCTTTCCTGACCCCTGAGGTCCGGGGGGGCCCCTTGAAGTGGCCTAGGAGGCCCAGCCCCCATCCTTCCTTGGGCAGGCTGGGGTGGGCGGGTCCCTCAGCTCAGCGGGGTGGCCTCACTTC